TCTCACAGGGTGTCACTACGTAGTTCAGACTGGCCTCGAACTGGCTTACGCATCCCAGGGGCTCCGCCTCGCGGGAGTCCTCCTGCCCCAGCCTCCTGGGTGCTAGGATTGCAGGTGTGCAGCACCACACCTGGCTTGTTGTAGCTGTTGTAGGTGTAAGTTTATGCAGTGTTTCCTAAGACTAGAATGTCATCACTGAACACTTGGGGAGTAGGTTAGGGTGGGGTACAGTGAGCAGTGCTGCAAGCGGAGGGGCCGTGTATTACTATTACTGCTCCCAATGAGCGCCGGCGCCGAGCACTCAGCTGCGGGGTGAGCCTGGACCCTGCTCACCTGAAGCTTGTTCTGTGTCACCGAGCTAAGATCCCATCCCGACCTCCAGATCCTGGCATGCATCTCTTTCTCTGAACACAGTAATAATCCATGAGATATAATGCGTAGTATTTCCTAAGACGGAAGCCGACTCTCACTGGGTTTGGATAACCTACAGAAGGTTGCGTTGTAGCATCTGCGCAGTGTCATGGTAAAGCTCAGCCGAGCTGCCATCCCCGCCAGGCTGTAGAGTGTAAGTCCCTTGAAGGCAGACTGCCTGGTCCTGTGTCTGTACCTGGCCCTGTGCTGGCTCAGGAGGTGGTGTGGTCGGTACTTGGCGACTGCTTCAGGTGCATGGTGAATCTCTGTGTTAAAATTGTTAAGCCAGGAGCAGATTTTTCTGAAAAGAATATAGAACTAAGGAATTATGCAACATATTTTGGCTTATGGTAGAGCCGCAATGATAAAGACAGTCTGATATTGCAGAAGGGTAGCTGTAGAAGTAAATGGGAAGAATTAAGAGCCCAGAAAGGAAGCCGTATGTTTATGGGCCGTCGGCTTTCATTAGAAGTGTCAGCAGTGCACTGGGGAGTGGAAAGTCTTTGCAACAGAATAGATCCCACACGTCCACATGGGATGAAAATGAGCATCAGCTCCTAACCTATACAGATTAGCACAGGTGGAATGCAGCCTAACGTAGGAGAGTAAACCATACACAGAGAGGGAAACAGCAGCAAAACCTTCATGACTGAAGCTAAGGTTTCTCGGGACACAAAAATACAAACTAACAATTTGATAAATTGTATTTCTCAATCCTTTATTCTTGGAAAGACAAATATGAAAATGCAAGCTGA